ATGGATATACCACATTTTGTTAATCCATTCATTGCTCAGTAGACCTTTGGGTGTTTCCATTTTTTGTCTCTTATGTAATGGGGGCATGAACATCTGTGTACAACTTTTTGTGTGAATGTGTGATTTCCATTCTTTGGGGTATATGTAGCTAGGAATGGAATTGTTGGGCCATACAGCAACTTTATGTTTAACTTCCTAAGGAACTACTAACCTGTTTTCCACAGCCACAAAGCCATCTTATGTCCCCACCATCAGTGTATGAGAGTTTCAATTTCTCCACATCCTTGGCAACTCTTGTTACTTTCTGCTTTTAAAACAATGTTTTTTATGATAGCTATCCTAGAGGGTGGGAAATGGTTGCTGCCCTGACTTTAAGGACACCCCTCCTTCAGGCCACTTACATACCATGGAAGTCACGTTGGTTACTTGGAGACAGAGTTACTAAGGGCTTATTATGTGCCAGGCTCTCTGCTAACGGTGGCACATGTACCATCTTAGTTTGATGCACACAACTCTGTAAGGAGGGACCATCATTCTGCCTATTTGACAGGTAAACAAACCAGGGCACAGGAGAACTTGCTGGAAAAGTGATGCAGTTTGGAAGACATGCATTCCTATATTTAAAAAAAATTAGAAAACTTGGACACTAAGGCAGCAGTTTGTAGTCCAACTGAAAGGTCGAAGAACATTTTTCTCCCAAAGCAAAACAAAACACCTCTGGTAGACTGTGGTTGGCAAAACTCGTGATGCCACCAATATTCCACCCATGGCATCCTCAGCTTTATAATCCCCCAGGATAGGTGGGCCTGTGAATATCATGGGTCATCACTCCCCTGATTATGTTACATTAATACGTGCAAAGGGACTTTGCAGATATAAATATGGTCCCTTGTCAGTTGATTTTGAGTTAATAAAAAGGGAGATTATCCTATATGTGCCTGACCCAGTCACATGAGTCCCTTAAGAGAGACAAGCAGCAGTAGGGACTCCCACTGGCTTTAAGGAGCAGGTCACCACAAATAATACAACCACAAGGAACTGAATTCTTCTAAGCAAGCTTGGAAGGTCAAGAGTTCCCAATCTGAACCGAGCCCTGGCCGTCTCCTTGATCAAAGCCTTGTAAGACCCTGAGCAGAGTAGTAGTTAGGCTCTACCTGGATTTCTAACCTACAGAACAGAGAAAGAACAAGGGTTGTCAGAAGCCACTGAATTTGTGGCAATTTGTTACACAGCAATAGAAAACTAGTCCATAGTTTTCTGACTGACTAAAGGCTGGTAGAGGAGATGAAGTTATAGATGTGCCGTCATATAGAGCAGCAGTTCTCAAAATGTAACCCAGGAACCCTTGCAGGGGGGATCTTCAAGACCTTTTCAGGGGTGTATGAGGTCAAAACTATTTTCATAATAATGAAAAGATGTCATTTTCTTTTCCTTGCTCATTCTCTCATGATCTTATGGTTTTCTAGATGCTACGTGATGTGCGGGGATATCGTTGCTCTGATGGCTAATGGAATGTGTCCTGTGTATTCTTGTGTTTAAAAAGTTTCCTTGTCTCAATTTCTAATGTGGCAAATACTGACATACACAGCCACCATAAACAAAAGTTTCTTGGGTCTCCGATAATTTTCAAGAGTGTAATGAGGTTCTGAGGCCAAAAATTTTGAGCATGTTGGGCTAGGTGAGCTGTAACTAAGTAGGCCTAGACAAAGTCGGAAGGTATGAGAATTTATATGGTTAGGCGATGCCTGCATTTGGTCTACAACTGTGGCAGGTGTGACCAAGAGTGGAGCAAGGACACATAAGTATGAGGTATAGCCCCTGACATAAGGAGAACATAAAGAAATAATTATCAGAACCATTCATTTCTCTCCTCTGCAGGTGTTTCTAGGCACGAGGTACTGAAATACGATTTGAGGTAGCTCAGCGCTAACCTCAGGTATGGGTGCCTATGTCACCAAGGTGTTTAGAGAAGAATTTGCTGAAACAAGGCTGTGGGAGATGGAGAACAATTTGTGGGGGAGGTGAAATGTAAGTTGGGTGGGGAAGTAGGAGAAGGAGGACAAATATTCCAGGCTTATCCTTCAGATCTCAGCTAAGACATCCTTCTTAGAGAGCCTTTCCTGACATTCCATTCTAGAGCACCCAGCACCACCTTCTCCATCAGAGCACCCTGTTAATTTCCTTCCAGGCATTTTTTTTTTTTTAACCTAACCTAGCCATTAAGTCTGGCTGGAGCTAGAATGCCTTGGTTCAAATTCCAGCTCTGACACTTGCTAGTTATAAAATCTTGGAGCAGATACTTAATCTCTCTATGCCTCAGTCTCCCAACAAATGTGCTAAGAAAACAAGGAATTTATGCTGAAGAGTTAGCTTAGTTTGTGACCATGGGACTGAAGAGGAAAGGGTGGGTGCAAATTAGTTCAAAGGTGGAACGGATAGGTGAATTCAGACGACATGGAGAGAAGTGAATGGGAAGACAAAGGAAAATTCTGGGGATATTAAAGGGGGGGGACCAATTAATTATATATGGAGTAAGGAAAGAGCGTACAAAACAGCGGCTATTCCAAAGTTTGTTGCTTGAGAGATACGAAAGCGGCTAGTTAACTACTCTGGAAGGGAAAAGGGGAAAGTATGTCAAATCCATGTTTAAAGTGAATTAGCAGCAAGAACAGAAGTGTAGACAATTTGTTTTTAGAGCGCTCAAGTGACAGGCTGAACAGAAGAAAGTTGAGAGCAGACAAGAAAATCTGGGTGTCTGCTCATTGCTGGCCAGAGCTGCAGTATCGGGGAAGAAACTGTGCACGGCCCCCCATGCTGGGCTGTATGGAGAAGGACAATCTTTAACACTCAATGACGTTCTTATCGTGGATAAAAGAGGCTTAATACATTGCTGTCAAACTCCTTTTGGTGAGATGGGGCTTTTCGGGAGAATTAAAACACTGATTCAGTCTAAGGAACTGCATGCACAGTGAAGGGGGTAATACATTTCTCAGTTTGAATGGAACTTTGGAAGGCCAAATAAACACGTTTCAAGTTGCTTTTGTAGGGAAAAGCCAGGGTCATCTCCTTTCCAGCAAGGACTTCTTGCTACTCAAGCTCAAATTGTACATTCCTCTTGTTGACACGGCTTCATAGCACTCTAAGTTCCTGGCTAAAGCTTCCCGGGATGACTTTTGGATGTCCTATTTGAAATAGTTAGACTTTCGGCTCTGGCAAGCTGCTGAAACCCTCCAGGACAACTGAACTGTAGATAAAAATCTTCCAGGGAAGTAGGTGTGGGCAGGATGTGTGGTTTCCTTGTCCCTCATTTAAAGACTGATGCAATTAATTTTTCATGAACAGTCTATTCCAGTAAGAGGTAAATTCCAGAGTGTTTCAAGAGAAATCAGAAAGGACAAGCTAGCTACTGATCTTCAGTTTGAGTTGGGGCTAGAGCACTATTTTTTTCAAGCAGAACTCCCTTTGCCACTGTGACCTCAAGGCCCTGAATTAGCCATAACCACCACACACAGCAGGGCAGGCACTTGTTTACCAAATAATCTGGAACTGAGCAAACCTCACTCTGAATGTGTGCATGATAGTCGGAATCCAGGAAGACAGTCCTAAATTTTTAGTGATATAACACACACGAGGTTCTTTCTCTGACATTCCAGGCTAACCACTGTCTAAGTCTCTGCAAAACATCTGGGACATACATTTCTGGAAAAGATTACGGCATCTTTTCTACAACTCTCCCCGGCCTAAGCATTGTGTGCTCTGGCCTGACAGGAGCCTCCGCAGCAGGATTACCTGTGGGGGCCGGGGAGGCTGCGCTGGCGCATGGACAGGCATTTATTGAACTGAACACAGTCCAATTTCATGCATCGACTATTTACCTAGTGCCACTTAGGAACAAAGTGCAGAGCGGAGAAAAAGTAAAAGGTGAAAAAAAATGTTCACGCTGTTATCCCTAAAAAAAAAAAAAAAAATCACTTTCTCTCGAGAAAAGTAGAGTTATTTCCTCTGACATTCCAGGCCTTTCCATCGGGTAGCTGGGGCAGCACCTGACATTTGACGATTAAGGTCAAAGCACACAATGAGCTAGCTCCTGGCTCTCCCGTGGCCACCAAACTAGACAGCAAAATAGTTTCCCTATTCTGAGGGTTTTCTCAGCCAAACACCTAGGAAAACGTCCTGATGACAGATGTGCCTACTTTATCCAGAGAAGATTTGCCCAAAGAACAATAAAAGCTAGACTGGCCTCAGCATTTTCATTTTCCAACATCTCAAGGTATTCATGCATTTCCACTGACATTTAATCTCTTCATTCTTTATTAGATCTATGTCATACTTACTAAACAGATTTAAGAGGAGAAAGTTTAAAAACTTCAACACTACAAGAGGTCTTCTCACTGTTAAAGGAGAGAACTTAGAGAAAGAGGAATTCCTATTTTTTTGAAGAGCTCCCTGGCCTGGTGCCGCACTAGGTATTGTACTAGGCAGGGCAGCACAGATTCTCAAGCAGGACCAACTAAATACTTCGTGAGGATCAGTGCAAAATACAACACGGGTCCCTTGTTCTACATCTATTAAGGAATTTGAGAGTGACAGCAGAGCCTGAAAACCAGTGCAGGGCCTTCCTGAGTGTGGGTCCCTGTGTGGCTGCAGAGGCCGCATGCCCAAGTAGCGGGCTTCACTCTCCAGTCAGGCTGCCGGGACTTGAATCTCGACTTTGCCATTTACTAGTCATGTGATCTTAGACAAGTCACCTGTAAAAGGGGAATAATAACAGACCCTACCTCATCGAGTTGTTATTAGGATTATAGGAATTAATGTTTGAAAAGTGTTTAGAAGCATATTGCAAGCACTCACATAAATGTTTAATAAAAATATCCTCTACTGAGCCTAAACAACCTCAAAATGCCAGGGACGATGATGACCATGACATTGTGAATTTACTAAAACATTAAAAAAAAATGTTTTGAGAGTTTAGATTTCTGAAAACCAGTATCATGCTTTTATTACTAGAACAGTTGGTCACCTTTTAATTTATTTTAACAAACAAGAGATTTCAAAAGGTCTTCTGGATTGAGAACAACGACTCACAAAGCAAAACCGAAGAACAAAAAAGGATACTGGTTCATGCTCAAGGTTCTGGAAGCCTGCGGAGTACAACTTGTCATGAAGCCCATGTGATATATGCTGAAGGGATTCACTAGGGACTTTACTGCTTCCATACAGGAAACAGAGCCTGCTGTATCGGAACAAAAACTAAGAAATATCTTTTTTCTTTTTACTAGGCAAAATATTGTAAAATAAAAAAGAGTTGCAGAACAGGAAATGTTACTAATCATACTAATTCTATATTTAGTTGTAGGAAAAATACTACTAAAACAAGTCAGAAGATAACTTGTAGGTAGTGATACAAAAGAAAAGAAATTTGGTGCACGGAAGCTTAAATACTTAATGGCGTATTAATGTTTGTTTTATTTTTATTTTATTTTTAAAAAGATTTTATTTATTTTTTTGAGAGAGCGGGAGTACACGTGTGTGTGGGGGGGGGGTAGGGGGGAGGGAGAGAGAATCTCCAGCATGCTCCATGCTGAGCGGGGTGGCCTGACGTGGGGCTCGATCTCATGACCCTGAGATCACAACCTGAGTCTGACTCTTAACCAGCTGAGCCACCCAGAGACTCCTTAATGTTTGTTTCGTAAGAGCACCTTCGGTTTCCTTACTGGGTTATTTATACATTTTTTTACTCTTCACCACCAATAATTCTCAGGATCTTCAGAAGCCTTTACAATAAAACGTGTAGTATTTTCTACTCCATTTATAATAAATATGGTTGACTGCAAAATTCCAGAGAAGCTATCATTTGTCAAACAATTCGCCCGAGGTACACAGACTTGGGGTACTTCTCCTTCAGAGCCGGCCACTGAACAATGAAGTAATCGGAGAGGTGAAACAGAATCTTTCCGGACAGGGATAAATGTTCTACTCGGCAGATGCTTTCAACATAGACAATGATCACTTTCTTTATTCCTAGTATCCCAAGGAGAAGGGCAGATATGCAGATAGGAACACATGTTCCTGGTCCATTACACAACACCTTAAAAAAACACAAAGTTGAAGGTCAAATTAACATACAGAATACTAATCTAAAAGAGGCATTTGAAATTAATAACAGTCACATTTTAGGAGAGATTTTTATTACTCTATGCCTTGCATTATTCCTTGTCAAGATCTAGGATGTAGCAAACCCATGCACTTGGGAGCCAGGTAGCGCTGTGTTGCAGGCTCTCCTGCTTATCACTGTGTGACCTGGGGCAAATAACAGAACTGCTCTGGGCCCAGGGGGCCTGCCCTGTGCGACCAGAGGCATCCAGCACACTGCCTGGTGCTCAGCCAGTGTTCACTGGACGCGTGTGTGATGCTCTTTTCCAACTGTTTTATGGATCACGTAAAAACATCGAAGACAGATAAAGTTAGCTCTGAGTCAATATTTTCTCATGTATCAGCTTGTTCTTGATCTCTTAAAATAATTTTATAATAGTTGGAGCGGTGACATGTAAGATGTAGGAGAAAATGTCTTTTAAATGACTATGTAGGGGATCTCTGGGTAGCTCAGGGGTTTGGCGCCTGCCTTTGGCCCAGGGCGCGATCCTGGGGTCCCGGGATCGAGTCCCGCATTGGGCTCCTGGTGTGGAGCCTGCTTCTCCCTCCTCCTGTGTCAATCTCTCTCTCTCTCTGTCTATCATAAATAAATAAATAAATATTTAAAAAACAAATAAATAAATGACTACGTAGAGTATCTTTGTGGGATATAGAATCATTTTAGGAGTTCAACCCAACAAATGGGATATTTGAGAGAAGTGTACTAAATAAATGTCATTTCTTTTCAAGAGAATTTAATCTGTGCTTGTGGTCCAGAGAGTTTAATGCCTTTGAATTCTGCTAATTTTTATAGATAGTCACTGGTTAAAAACAATTTAGTTGGCAAAAATAACAAGAAAAATTAAAAAATAAAAATTCAACTCCTAGAGCAACTGCAAAGAATTTTTAGAAGTCTTTTTTTTTTTTAAGATTTTATTTATTCATGAGAAACACAGAGAGAGTGGCAAAAATGAGGGCAGAGGGAGAAGCAGGCTACCCATGGGGAACTGGATGTGGGACTCGATGCCGGGACCCCATGATCACGACCTGAGCCAAAGGCAAATGCTCAACCACTGAGCCACCCAAGTGCCCTAGAAGTCTTTTAAGAAAATGAGAGGAAACCTATTTCACAGACTTATTGGTAAGATAACTTATTATTACTTTCAGTAAAAAAATGTATTTGCACAAACATCTTAATCATATGCTTATATTGATTGAATTAGTAGCCCTAACAAAGCATCTTTCTTTAATTAGGCTCCACACCCAGTGTGAAGACTGACCTGGGGCTGGAACTCATGATCCTGAGATCAAGACCTGAGCTGAGATCAAGAGTCAGATGCCTAACCAACCGAGCCACCCAGGTGCCCCTAATAAAGCATTTTTTATTCCACAAATGATAAAACAGGAGATATGTGGTTGTCTAATGCATGCCTGTTGGGCATTACTTACAATGTCACATGATCTTTCCAGCAAAAAGTCCACAAAACTTATCAGACCTCAGAGAACCTTAGAGTTGAAAGGGCCCCTAGATACACTACCTCAGCATCTTGGCATTTCAGAGATTCTCCCAGATGGACAGACGTCCTGCCTCAGCTGCGGGCGATGGCCAGGGCTCTTAGGGTTTGATAAAGGTTATCTGATCTAGGCGCTGCCCTTCCTGGAGGCATGACCACTGGCACACCATTCACAGAACTTTGGGAAGAGAGAAGGTGCCTGTTTCAGGGGGGAACCAATCTTTTTTGTGTCCTCTTTAAAGTGTTTACCTAAAATTTAACCCCTTGTCTTTATGAAGAATTTTTGTTCAGTTTTTCTTGGATTACCAGCTACCAAGCTGCTTTTCAGATCAGTCTTCTTTAATCCCCAGTGAGTTGCCCCTATAACCTTTCTTCATAGACCCTCAAGGCAGTGTAATAGAAAGAAAACAGGACTGAGAGTAGGGGGAACAAGGTGCAACCAACTTGGGCAAAATAGAAATGGGAATCATTGCCTCAGCTCTCACCACCACTCTTTATCAACAACTCACTGTATAAACATTTCACATACATTATTTTAATTACTCCTGATAACAATCCTTTGAGGCAAGTTTTATTGTCCCTTTTTGCAGAATAGGAAACTGAGGCACAGCAAGATTGGGCAAGTTGCCTGATCACATGTTTAGGAGTGGGAGAGTTCATTTTTTTGGTTTAAGATTTAATTAGAGAGAGAGAGAGAGACTGAGAGAGAGACTGAGAGTGAGCGCATGCAGTGGGGAACGGGAGAGGGAGAGGGAGAGAGAATCTGGGGCAGACTCCCCACTGAGCATGGAGCCCGATGCAGGGCTCGATCTCATGACCCTGAACAGAAATCACAAGTCAGATGCTTAACTCACTGAGCCACCCAGGTGCCCCAGGAGTGGAGGAGTTCTATTGCTTTAGTCACTTTTTCTTCTGTGACTCAGTTACCATATACACAGGGAGACTGAACTAAAAGGCTTTCCCTGTCAGCTCCACGATTCTTCTAATTCTATGACTTTAATTTGCGTCTAGTTTTGTCTTATGCCTAAGTTACAAGATTGTTCTGAATCCTTTCAGGGTTTAGAATTCTAAAAATCCTATTAATGCAAGGTTTCTCAACAGTGGCATTATTGACATTTTGGATAGGATAATTTTTCATTGTGGTGGCCTGTCCTGCACACTGTAGGATGTCTACTAGCACTCCTGGCCTCTACCCACAAGATTCCAGTAGGCAAGACAATTAAGAATATCTCCAGGCATTGCCAAATGTCTCCAGTCGAGAACCATTGCATTAATGAATCCCCTAAACTGTGGATTATATGTTGCTTTTCTCAGTCTTTTTTTTCCATTGTACAAAACAAAATGAAACTTAAGGTTAAAATATAATGTAAAGACTAATTGTTGGGTCTTCAATGTCACAAAAATATTTACATGTTTGTTGCCTTCAAAAAATGTACACATCCACACGTGTTCATTTTGCTCTCTATATACACAAGCTGTGAATACTCTGATAGAGACGTCTGTAGACAGGGAAATGACTAGACATTGGTGGGAGATGTACTGACAACCTGCTATAGATCAGAAGCAGAGACTGTCAGGATGAAAGTAGAAGTTAAAGGTATTCATTTATTTATCTCTGCCACATCTCTATTTTGAAGCACTTAGTTTAAAAGTCATAGGTATGATAAAACCACAAAACCATAAATCAAGTACTTAAAAAAAAGAAGGGCAAATTAATCTCAAGGAAAACTTAGGCTAAGGAATGCTACTTTTAATTAAGCACAGGTTTTAACTCTGAGTTTTACGGAAGCCTAGGCAAAAAATTAAAACATTGTGGATTATGGAGTTTCCACTGTTCAATGAAGCGTATCAGAAAGACTTATTCCAAGGACTGAACAAAATAGAATTAAGTATAAAAGATTTAAACAATGTTAAACAATATAATGGTTGATGTTGTCTTTTTAATTTTATAAAAAACATAGAAGTATTCTTTATATTTTTATTTCTTAAAATGGACATTCTCAATCAATGTGGGGCATTGCTTTTATTCCCTCTCCTCCTCAATACCCTGTAAGCTCCTTATGGGCAAGGTCAACCTCTATATTCTGTACCTGGAACAAAAAAGGCACTCACTAAATTCTGCCCAAAGGAAGGAGCAAGGGAGTAAGGGCAGAGGGAATCCTTCTTTGCCTATTGTATATGGAGTCAAATGCTCTTTTTGCTACACTCAACTCTGTGACTCTATTATACCCGCTTATCATATATATATATATATATATATATAATGGCTATAACTGACAACTTTTAACCCCCCCCCCAAAAAAAAACCCCAAACCAAAAAATCCCAACCATCCCACATCCATTTGCCTTTTCTCTGGGGAACCACTGCTACCTGTCTCTCAACTTAAGCACTGGGGTGGACTCCATACTCAACCATAAGGAGAGGACCTATGACTCCAGTCTGACCAGTAAGGGCATTGAATTTCTCTGACAAAAGTCACCTGATTAGGAAAGAGCACCTAATCCAGTGAGATGCCACAAGATGCAGTGGGACGTTTGCTGGGACTGCCCAGAGAGCAGTGCCTTTTTTGCTATACTGGGACCTAGGAGGATGTAGGCCTGGCACGGTTAACATTTATCTTGCTGCCATGAGGATGAAGCCATCACAACGTAGAAGAGAGCAGAGATGAGAGATGAAGACAGGACAAGTCCCAAGGTAGCATTTACAATCCACAAATCCAGCTGTGCCTGAAGGAAACCAGATCTATCCCTAGACTTGACAGGTAGGTGAGAGACTACATTCCATTTTTGCTTAAGCGGTATGAATCAGGACTTCTGTCACTAGCAATAAAAAGTATACTAACTGATATAGCCCTTTATTTTGTCTAACTCCCTGACTAGCCTCGGACTATTTGCAGTGCCAACTGGTAGGTGTTCAGTACGTGCCTGCGAGATGAATTAACAGACCAATAAAGCTTCTCTGAGAGCATAAAATCCAAGAGATGTACTAAGAATAATATAACTCAGAGGTCTAGAAAACAGAGAGAGGTCAGGGCTAATATAAATAAGAAGTCATGAGGGTGGATGAGCCGGATCAAGGATCAATAGTTACAAGAGGATTGTTGTTCTGTAGACTTGGGTCACCAGAGGCCAAGTCCTGTTGCCTGAGACACAACATCAGCATGTATGAAGAGATGCAGTTAACTTGGGTAGCCTGAACTCAACTCCCAGCCTAGTAGGAACCCCATACACAGAATATGGGCCAGGACCTCTGGGGGTCCTGGATTGGTTTGAAGTTAAGAGGCCATGAGGTTGAGAGTGCGCCAACAGGGAGTGTGTGAAGGAGAGACTGCAAGCCAGATGGAGAGTCCAACTAGGGCAGCAATTGCAGGGAACAGAGAGGCAGAGTCCAACTCTGAGGTACCAGCCTGAAAGCTAGGCTTTCAAATAGTCTCTTGCTGGT